AACTCAGGGTCTGTCTTCAGCAAATTGTGTCACAACCTTCTCAAAACTTCCAGATAAAAATTTTGGTGGACGGTTTGATCCAGAGAAACAAATTCTGAGTGTTCTATAAGGATCCTCCCCTCTAAAAGATAATTCCGGTATTTTGGGGGGTCCCCCCATATATATATTATCTTCTGTGAATAAAGCTCAAATTCTTCATTTCACCTGCGAAACCCTTCGTATAGCACTCCTGGCCTGTATCTCCAGGTCCTCTTTATATCCCTTGCCTTTAACTCCAACAACAGGGCACTTGCTAATCTCTGAGACTGTTTTTATTCATTCTCTAAAAGCATACCAGTTCCTGTTAAGAGCAAGCTTTGCACTAGTCACTGTTGAACAGAGAGGAACACGACACAGTCTCTTCTCTCAAGGAGTGGAGTCTAAGAGACCAAGCACACAAATGCAACCCCGACATCACATGGGTCACCCCACACCACAAAAGTAAGATGCACTTGGTACGGACTCCCATTCCATACCTTATTAATTTTCTACTGCTGCATAACAAATTGCCACTAACTTAGTGACTTATAATAACACGCTTTTTTTAAACTGACAGTTTGTGTGGGTTAGGAGCCTGGGCACAGCTTAACTGGGTCCTCTGCTCAGAGTCCCACAAGACAGCAATCAAGATGTTGGCTAACCAAGTTCCTTTCTGGAGCTTGGAGTCCAAACACACCTGATGATTGGTCTTTGCGGTTCTGGGACAGGTCCCACTTTCATGGTCATCAGCTGGGGCTGCTTTCAACTCCAGAGGCCACTGCAATTCCTTGACACACAGGCTTTCCTTTTTCTCTCTTTTCAAAAAATTTTTATTTTAAAATTGTGGGGTACAGTTCAGGGTTAGGTATACAAATATTCATTGTGCAGTTACCCTTGTTGATGAGGTGTGTCCCCACTTCCCCAGGCAGATATTGACTGCTGTCAATCCCACCTCTCTGCCCACCCACCCCCGCAGTTTCCTGCTACTGTCAATCCTTTTCTTAAAGTATTACAGTAGTTGTTCAAGGTCCACTTATGAGTGAGAGCATGTGATACTTAGATCTTTGTTTCTGTGAAACATCACTCAGTACAGTGGCTTACTTCAAGGACAGCAGGAGAATCTCTAGCTCCAGTCTGTGAAGACAGAGTCTTATATAATGTAACGTAATCACAGACTTGACTATCCCATTGCCTTTGCCATATAACTAAATCGGAGCCAAGGATCATCAGCCTATCACATTTCCCATATCCTGTTAAAAGCAAGTTGCAAGTTCTGCTTGTGCTCAGATGCGGGGGGCCAGCCCCAGCGAAGAGATTTAGAAGGTCCCTTGGAAGGTGTGGTGGCGTCGGCAATTCTGTAGGGATAGATATTAAAAGAAAGAAAGAGCCTGGGGGAGAAAGAAAGAAACTGGAGGAAGAACAATCCCAATTAAATCACAAAACTTTTACATGAACACAAAGCCAGGTGGATGAGGGGCATCCCTCACCCACCAGGTGTTTCCTGGAGTATGAGGAAAGGCAATCCCAATTAAATCATAAGACGTTTACATGAACATAGAACCAGGCGGATGAAGAGTGTCCCCTACCCACCAGGTGTCTCCCCAAGTATGAAGAACGAGGATCCCAAAACTATCTCACTGTTCCTCATGCTTGGTTAATATTTCTTAAAAGCAATACAACAATTCTAATATCATAATATTCTAATAATCAATAACTTTTAAAACCTATGATACACAACACCTAATAAGCAACCTAAATCCCAATTCCTCTCTATATTAACGCTAATTCTACCTACACTATAGAAACTCTTAATTATAGCCCAAACCAATTCCTAAGGAATGTGGCCCAGTCAAAAGATCACTCTGGGCCGTTTCTGGGAACAATAGATTACAATCTCTTAACAAAACGGCTGTTCTGAAATCCTATAAATCTATTTTAACTTTTATAAAAGTTTCTAATTCCTAATCCTGATCATCAGCAATAAAGCTTCTAAAAACCCAAATATAAACCGTAAATTGTATTAAAGTCAAAACCGCAAACGTAGAAAATGGAAACAATGCAATTTCTAAAGTTAGCTGTATTCTTATTAAACCTCAAAATATCATGTTTGAACATGCTTGAACTGACATAATTCACTGACATAGCATAACCTAGTCTACAATACTTTCTATGAATAAAATAAATTCAATTTCTATAATAAGTAGAAAAAAACCCTATACTAACTGTAGCTAAAAACCGGTTTAAAAGAAAGCAGCCTAGTCCAAAGTACACTCTGGGCCTTTAGGAATGTGGCCCAGCCCAAAGTTCATGCAGGGCCTTTAGGAATGTGGCCCAGCCCAAGGTTTGTGCTGGGCCATTTCTAGTAGTTCTAGATATTTATCTGTATTATTAAGGTTGAAGCAGCACTTTGTATGTATATACTAATTCTACAAATATACTATTAAATCTTAAAAGAAGCTTGTACCGTATTCAAGGCTCCCAAATGTGACCTGAGTTTGAATTATGTTAAGTTTAAAGCCAAAACTGCAGTCTGAGAAACGGGAACAATGGACTCCTAAAGTAAGCCATGCCTGTTGTACTCTCAAAACTTCATGCTTAGATCATCAAAGTCCCTACTAGTGGAACGTGCCAAACAGCAAAGAAGGAAAGAGGGAATGGGCCTTCAACTCCTGAACTCATCCTAGTGGTCTCAGGGTCTGCAGCCTGCCTGGATCCCTAATGCTCAGGCGGGCCTCCATGGCCAGCTCCCAACACTCAGAGGAGGCAATTATTCAAATACATGACCCCTTGGGAATCACCGTAGGGTGTGCCCACCATACACACACCTTGTAGACTCAAGATTTATGTAAATCCAAAAATGTACATAATCCCAATGACAGGGATTGAGTAAAGTCTCCAAGTCTGGCTAAGGTCTCCTGTTCTTTCTAAATTAGTTCAGGTGTGGGGCACCAAGCTGTCCCTTCTCCCAGTACATTGACCCAGCCATGGGCTCCAGCTTTCTGTTTGGTGCCCACTAAACACAAAGCCATTCACAAGACTGTGATTGATGGCTTGATGGCAGGATCAAGAACTCAAAATTTATGAGCACTCTTGCTCTTAAAAAATCCTTCAGCATGTGAGTAGGCCATACTTGCTTCTCTTCTTTTTCATTCCTGGCCTTCAACACCCACCCCCATCTCTAATTTCTGGTTAATTTTTATTGCACAGTAGTTCAGCAGTCTCATGCCTTTAGGTGTGCAACTTTCACCTCAAGCAGATCAATAAAGTATTTCACTAGACAAAAACAGTTCCCTCCCTAAGAGGAGTCCTAGTACCAGGTGCTAAGATAGTATGTTTTATTTAACACACCGTGCAAGCAAATGACAACAAAATGATAACAGATTACGAACAGAGCTGAAGCAGAAAGACGTCAGGGTGCTTGAGGATCTCAGGAAGGGGATCACTAAGGGGAGTCTGCAGAGAACAGATTGGGTCAGGGGCGGTTTAGAAACAAGGCATGACGGGGACTGTCAAGGTATTAGCAGACTGGTGATGGGGGTGTGGTGGGAGTGGGTGGGGAAGATGAGCTTTAAGACAGATGGCACATGGGCTCGGAGAATTTGAGGAAGTGCTGCCAATCCTATTGCTGGTCTGGATGTGGGGAAGCAGCAGGAGATGACGAGGAGGGCAAGGCCAGATTATAAAAGGTCCACGTCCTTTGCTAAGGGAGAAGATCAAACAGGATTCTGTGTCCATGAACTTTTGCAATCTCTGCACACGCCTATGTTATTTGCAATGCTTAGGGAGCCATATCCCAGGTCAACACATATCAAATGGGACATGTCCTGGATAAACCTGGACAACCATAGCTAAGTCTAGAACATCCTTCTGACCTCTCAGCCAGACACACCTGGAGGCTCTCAAACTGTCCTCCCAAAACATGTGGTGAACACTTGGATTGTAACCTCAACCACACGCTCCTATAATTGCTTATCCTTTGTTTTCTCTCATTGAACTAAGCGGTCCTTGAAAATATGGGATAGGTTTTATTCATGTATATATCCTTTAAACCAGCACTATGCCTGTGACAAAAGAGACATGCAGTAAATTGATATTCAATCTCAATAAAATAATATGCAACTTTTACTGAAGGTTAGCTACTTGCCAGATACTCTCCTAGGCACCCGACATGGATTATATCTTAAATAATTAAGAGCATGGCCATTTTCATTGGATTCATTTTACACTGAAGGAAACCAGGATGCAGAGAGGTGGTGTAATTTGCCTAAGAACACACAGATCATAAGAGGAGAAAGAGGATTCTAATCCAGGTCTCATCTACAGAACCTGCGAATGAATAAAGTCTGGAGAGAACTGAAGTGTGGACTGGTGGACTCTTCCAAGGGTGACTAAGTTCCCTGCATGTTTTCCAGGGCCTGGCTGGCCGCAGATGAGCATGAGTCTGTGAGAGAGGACTACCCCCCTAAAAACAGTCGACCCTACAATTCCCCACATACATTATTTCCTGGGGTCCTCTCAGCAGTGGTGAGCTCTGGGCAGGTACATTATTACCATTCTGTGGAGGATATGATGGGGTGCTCTGGTCATTGAGCTGCTCCAAATCATGTAAAGAGCACCAGAGCCTCTTTTGAGCCTGTCTTTGGAGTCTAAATTTCATGGTCATTTCATTGACCTCACAGTTATTCTAATTCTTTCTGATGAATTTCTTCGTCTCTATCATGGGAATGGTCATGTCTAACTCGAGAGGTTGTTGGGAGCATATATGATGCAGAAAGTGGTGGGTAATCACTAAGTGGTAGCGGTGAGAGTTGATTTTGTTACCATCATCAACCGCACCACCACCACTCCCACTGCCAACATCCTCTTCCTCCTCGTCCTCCTCATCATAATCATCACCTGAGAAGAAGATATGAGGCTTACAGAAGGCAGATTCTGAGCATGGATCAGAGTCACATATTTCAAGTAAAATGGCTCAACACAGGATGGAGTTGGGAATCATGCTTATGTCCCTAGACAGCATGGGAAACACAAAGACTCAGGTCTGCAGATCAGGAGATGTGACCAGGATTGCCACATCAGGATCAGGACTTGGGATTCCACCAGCCAAGGCTAGGAACAGACATCTTCTTCCTCTTGGCATCATGGTCTTTTCCGTCACACTGTGAGAGAGCTTTCTGTCTGGTTGGACTGTGAGGTCATAAGGACAGATCCAGGTTATTCATCACTGAGTTCCAGCTGTGTCCCCAGTGCCATATAAATATTGATTGAATGAATGAACAAGAGCCAAAAACATGTGGATGGAACATAGAGGGGCAGAGAGCAAGGTTACCCAGAGTAGGAGAGCTTGAAGTATATGCTACCAAGCCTCACACATAAACTCTAGCTTGTAAATTTTTTCTTAGAAACCAAGGGACCTGACACTGACCAGCGAACCAAAGATTCTCTACCAAAAGAGAGAACTTTTTTAAAAAAACGGAAACAATAAAGCTTTCTCTCTCTCTCTCTGGCATGCACACATACACATACGTACCACACAACAGAGTTTCTAAAGACATTAATATTAAATAATTGTCTGCAGTTTGCTGCTGCCCCAGGCAAGGGCATGAACCTGATGACCTCTCTATGAATTTCAAAGTACCAGCATCTGGATTCCTCAGGGTGGTGGTTTTTATTCTTCCTAGCATTTCAGAACCAATCCTGAAACTCCACAATCAAAAGACGTGCTTTCCTTTGGTAGCCATTGAATGTAAAAAGAAATCATATTCACACATAGTGACAGAAGCCTTTGCTGATTTTATCAATCTTTGGAATAATTGTGTGCTTTCTTCATACGAAGGAAACATTTTAAAATTATAGTCCTATATGTGCAGGACACATTATTAAATAATTCATATTCTTGTTGATTTACCAAACCTTGTGTTAACTTTTGGTCTTCAGGTTATCTAGTTTGAATTCTGACTAGCTGCTTCTGCTAACTAGCTGGCTAAGTAAAAGTTTGCTGACATTACTCAGCCTCTCTCCCTTTGTTTTCTTTAACTGGGATAATACGTCCTACTTGCTTTTCAGGTCCGTCATGAAAATTAAGTGAGATCACATATGTAGCCCATAACAATGTCTGGTGAAAGTTGAAGTTTCATCCTGGCTGACCCCGTCCCCTATCTTAGCCTCAGAGCAAACCAAGACTCAAAGTTTTCTTAGTCTCCTTCCTTCTTCCCTTCTAGGTTTCTGATTGTCCTGGGGTGCTTGATTCTGGCTGTCTTGACCACCTTCAAGGAGTATGAGACCGTCTCAGGAGACTGGCTTCTGTTGCTGGTAGGATTGCCAACCCACCGTGATATGGGGCTCTGGAGTAAACACCTCTGACTGAAATCCACAGTGATGAAAAGGTGGTCCCCCTGGACCAAGTCCAGACGCAAGAAAAAGCAATGCCTCTACTGCTTGGTGAGGTCTTGAGGTGGACACAGATGGAGTGAGGGATGACATTTTTGATAAGGATTTGCTATTCTGCATTCCAGATAAGGGGAAATAAATAAGGTCAAAGCAAATGCCAACACATATTATTAATTGATAAAGTGCAGCTTCCCACTCCTCTGAAAGTTCACACAAAGGCATGTTCCATTTTTAAAACTGTCTGTGTTTTTTCTCCCCAGTATTCTTCTCCCTAAACCCTAGGGATCTCTTATTCTCGTCAAGGCCAAGTACAGAATTCCATTTCCACGTAAAGCCTCCAAGCCCTCCCTCCGGGGGCCTCCACCTGTCTTCACTCTCTGTTCCCCCTCAGGTGGCATGGTGGAGAGAGTGCGGGTTAGAATTCCTGGGCAGACTACTTAACAGGCCCCTAACTCTGCTGGCTCACATCCTTGTCTGAAAGATGGAAGGCCAAGTGAGGAGCAAATATGGATGTGGGCTCACCCCCCACCCCCAACACCTGGCCTAGAGGAGACTCTAGGAAGGGCTGGCTCCTTCTGTGACCCCAGGCAGCACTGGTCAGTTGGCCCCTTCAATGACCGCACACTTGCTAGATTAGGAGTCAGCCCTGCCTCTTTATGGTGATGAAGACTGCAGAGACTCTGCTCTCCACACCAGAAACAGGTGAAGCCTCACCCTTTACACACAATGGGCGCAGGCCTTCTCTCTACACAGGGAAGAGGTGGAGACTCAGCCTCTACACAGGGAAAGAGTGCAGGTTCACCATCTATGCAGGGAAAGGGTACAGGCCTGGCCTCTACACGGGGAAGGGGTGTGTGTTCACCCTCTACTCAGGAGATGGTCCAGCCCCAGCCTGTACACAGAAAGGGTTATAGGCCTGGTGTCTACACAGGGAAAGTGTGCAAGCCCAGCCTCTACATGGTGAAGGAGTTCAGATCCAGCGTCTACACAGAGAAAATGGGTGCAGGCCCACCCTATACACTGGGAAGGGGTGCAAGCTCAGGCTCTATGAAGAGAAGAGGTGCAGTCCCAGCCTCTACACAGGGGAGGAATGCAGCTCTGGCCTCTACCATGGGGAAGGTGCAGGCCTCCAGCTGGGCTCACAGACAAGCAGCGTTTCCCTCACTCAGGCCCTGCCATTGCAGCACCAGGGTCAGCAGGTTCCTTCCAAGGGCAGCTGTTTACAATCTCACGGCCCAGAACTGAGACCTGAGTGGGGAAACCCTTGGACACCGTCCAGTTCCAGGAACTAGGTTTCAGGGATTTCTGAGGAGCAGCAATGCTTCAAGGTTCCCAAGATGGTCACGAAAGAGAGAGAGAGACAGAGAGGAAGGTGTCCATGTCTAATCAGCAAGGGAGGTCAGGAGGGCAGAGGAGGGACCCAGTGACCCTCCTTTTCAGCACTGGGGCCCTGCAGCCTAATTACTACAGCCTGGGAGCCCTTCTTTGCCACTGCACGGCCTTAAGAAATTTGTTTAATCACCCCATGCCTTGGTTTCTCAAAATAGTAAGATGAGGAGACTAGTATAAAACCCTTGCAGGGGTGCCTGGTAGCCGTTAGCCACCATGAGCAATGCCAGGGCCAGGCCCTGGGTGGACGTCATAAGTTGTGTTTCATCAATATCTCTCTTTTCAGCCCAACTGCACTTCTTGGGGGTTTTTGGTACATTAAAGAGATTTTACAAAATGATCCACTGGAACAAAAACACAGGCAAAAGCTTGCAAGGTTTAACGGTGTTAGGGACGGACAGTACATCAGAATGAGGACAGGATGTCTCCCCACGGAATGGAGGTGGTCAACCGGTTCTCCTCCCCCTGTCCCCAGCTTCACCAATGAAACAACAGAAACAACAACAGAAATGTAGCTCTTCAGACCGTCATAGCCCAAATCGCTGGTTCCCGACAACTGGGCCCTGGTTCATCAGTGCCCCTTCACATGTCTTCCATGCAGGAAACGTTTGCCATTTTCATCTTTGGAGCAGAGTTTGCTTTGCGGATTTGGGCTGCAGGATGTTGCTGTCGATACAAAGGCTGGCGGGGACGGCTGAAGTTTGCCAGGAAGCCCCTGTGCATGTTGGGTAAGCCCTGATTCCCAAGCCTCATGGATACCTGTGTCCCCCTCTCTCTCTTTTTTTTAATTTTTAATTTTAAAGACATGAGGTACAATTCAGGGTTTATACAAATGTTTATATACAAGTACCCTTGTTGATAAGGTGTGCCCCCTCCCTCTCCTGGCAGTTTCCCACGACTGCCAATCCCTTTCTTATAGTATTAACAACAGTTGTTCAAGGACCACTTATGAGTGAAAACATGTGGCACTCAGTTCTTTGTTTCCATGATAGATCACTCAGTATTATAGACTCTAGATCCAACCAAGTTGCTGTCAAGTTCATAATTTTGTCCTTTATTATGGCTGTGTAATATTCCACTGTGTATAAGTACCACATTTTTTAAATCCAGTCCTCTTTCAGTGGACAGCACAGTTGGTTCCATGTTTTTGCTATTATAAATAATGCTGCAATAAACATGCATGTGCAGGTATCTTTTTCAAAGAGTGATTTGAGTTCCTCCAGGTATATTCCCAGTAGGGGCATTGCAGGGTCATATGGAAGGTCGATTTTTAGATCTTTTAGAAATTGCCACACTGTTTTCCACAGAGGTTGTACTAGTTTCCACTCCCACCAACAGTGTATAAGTGTTCCCTTTTCCCTGCATCCTCTCCATCATCTGTTGTTTTTTGAGTTATTGATGTGACATCATTGCTGGCTGAGAATGGACTCCTGTAGGATCATGTTGTGCCCATTTTACAGAGATGGAAACTGGGGCTCAAAGAGCTGAGTCATTTTTCAGTCTCATGGATGGTGTATGCTGCTTACCACCTAGGTGGTAAACAGCATACACCATCCTAACACCCAGGTGTGGCCTTGCATCTTGTTCTGAAGGTTGCTTTGAGAGGTGTCACTGGAGTCCTTTTTCCAGTTGCAGATATTTTGATAGTATATCTGGTGGAAGTGCTCAATGATCTAGTGGTACAGTGTGGACCCAAGTGTTCCCATCCAAAAATGCTGCTAAAATCCATGCAGTGACAGGACAAAACCTCCTTGGGTGATGACTAGGAGTCTTGGCGCTTCGAATCCCTAGGAAGGGTCAAAGTTACAGGGTCAAAGAATGTCAGGGTTGCAAAGGCCTCCAAAGGCCTTAGTCCAACATGGTCTCCTTTCTGGTACTTGTGTTCCCTGCGGCGGCCTTTAAGTGGTCACCTAGACTCTGATTGCATACCCCCACTCAGGGTGGTCACCTCCTATCAAGATATTTATCCCATCTTAAGTCAGATAGGTGATTTTCTTCAAATATTTGATTCTCTCCATTTTCTTCCTCCTCTCCACGCCTGCAGACTTTTTTTGTATCCATAAAAAAATGTTCTTAGTGGCTTCAATCGTCGTGGCTTACATCACATGTTCTCAGCATCATAGTCCCTCTCCCCTGAACATGCTACTCCTTCCTCGCTGTGCTTTTTGTAAAGTGAGTCTCAGAACTCAGCACAGCCCTTCAGAGGTGGACAGCCTTGAGAAGAAAATCTGAACCATGTCCTGCTTTCTCTCCCCCAAACTCCTCTCCGTGCAACCTGGGCTGCACTGCCTTGGTCACACCCTCCTGAAATCCCACCACTTTGTTCCCACCTGCCACTGAGATTGGACTTCTGAAGTTTAAGGTGTCTTTTTTTCCACCAGAATTTTGAATTCAAGTGATGGGGGGGGTGTGCACATGTGCGTACAATTTTGAAGGACTTTTTCTAGTTATTTTTTTTGCATCTTTCTTCTCTCTTCCTTTGCACTCTTTCAGTATCTGCTCCCTACTTTCCTTCCCTTCCTTTCTCTTTCTCTTTATTCTGCATTTTGCAAGTGCAAAAGCCTTAAGAAGACTTTATTTTCTTCTTTGGTCTGACCTATATGATGCTGAGTAGAAGTCCTGTAGGCTGGGGTTGGGAAGGTAGCCTTGTGATAGGTTGTGCTCAGATTCAAAGAAGTTTTCCCCCAGGGTGAGAATATCCCGGCATATGGAACCTGGACCACTACTGAATGGGTGCAGCCCCCATAGGGCAGTGTCCACTATTCCCTGATGGCCTGCAGTCACAGAGTGCCAAGCCCTTGCCCACCCTCCCTGGAATGTCACACCACCCTTGCTGGCATCTTTCCTGGTGTTCCTGTGTCTTCCACCCTGTTCATCTTCGCTTCTCACGTCATGTGGCCCTTGCAGGAAATGTTGCTTTTGTCTGTGTGTTAGGCAAGACAATGGCTATCATGCCCATGAACATCATGGCCTCCATACTTGAAGCAGCCTCAGACCCTGCCATTGTGGGTGTGGATGCATCAGATCTGCCATTGTCAGAGCATCATAGACCACAGCATTTACTATGCATCTGGATGTCGTTTTGTTTTTCTTCTACAAACGTGGTAGGTGGGTAGCTTTGCAGAGATAATCTGAGAAGCCTGGCCCATGATGCAGACACATTAGTATCCAGATATTTGACCCTTAGGTTTTCTGAGAAGCTAGGCATATATGGAGGACACCTTAATAAGGTAGAAAAGACATCAGCTTTTCTGGCAAAAGTATCTAGATGTGAATTGAAAAAGGTCTGCCAAGCTCAAAGAGCAGAACATACAAAGATGTGGAGGAGTGACAGAACACTGTCTGCTCATCAAACTACACAGAATTCTGGTAGGTTCCCAGGGACCAGGCCACAGAGGGCTTTAAGGAACTTGGACTCTTTCTGGGCTCAGGTGATCCTTCCACCTCAGCCTCCCGAGTAACTGAGACTACAGGTGTACACCATCATGCCTGACTAATTTTTTTATTTTTTTGGTAGAGGCAAAGTCTTGCCATGTTGCCCAGGCTGGTCTCAAACTCCTGGGCTTACGCAATCCTCTCACCTCGACTTCTCAAAATGCTTAAATTACAGGTGTGAGCCACCACACCTGGCCATATAGAATATAGAATCTCTTGGGAAAGACTGTACTTCATTTGTATGAGTAAGAGCCACAATGCATGTTAGCATATTAAAGGCTTTTAGCAGTCTTGTGAACTCCATAAAAATGTATAATTATTATGTTAAAAAATTAATAACAATAAAAATACATAACATTAATAAATTTTTAAGTTTCAAGGTTTTTTTCCCAAATTTACTTGGCCATGGGATCCTTTTCACTTGCTGGCCCTTTGCAGGACAGGAGGAAGATCATTGATATGAGTGTTGGGTGCCACTGAAGGGAACAGAGAAGAGACCAATTCTCCTCTCTTCCATACTAGATTATTTGACTTCAGGGTCCTGCTTAGCTCTGTTAGAAATGTCTCATGCTCTTGGCCCACCTCTGATTTCAGCCTCAGCTGTTGTGGACATTTCTATGTCACCTCCTCATACCGGTGTCCTCCATCATGGATGGGCCTTACTTCTTTCCACAAACCTTCTCTGAAGCTCAGATAGATCACTAGGCGAATGTAGAAGTGTGAGGGCACAAACAATCCCAGGAGTGACCTTCAGCCAACAGGAGGCAAGAGCCATAGGACAGATGACCCAGCCTCCAAGTTTTTTAGACAACTGATCTTGGGAGATCTGCCTGCAGCTCAAAGGACACAGTAGTGACCTTGATAAGGGCCCCTTACTTTTTCCTCTTTCTCTTTTCTCCTCCCTTCACTTCTGCTTCCTAAGGTCATCTTCTGATAAGTGATTTTCACCCAACTTCCCGTCTCAGGTGATGCTTTAAAGAGAAATCCATATTAAATGTCTGAGTTTCAGGCTTCACCTCCCTAACTTGAGCAGCCCCAGATCCCCTCCCAGCCTGAGAGTGAATCTCAAGTACACTGGGGGGGCCTTGGGAAATTGCCACTCTGGGATTTAGAGCCCCCGTTGGAGTTGACAGGCCTGTGTCTAATCCCAATGCAACTACTTCCAGCTGTGTGGTCATGGGAAGGCACTCATACTCAGAGCTTCTGTTTCCTCACCAGTCATCACAGGAGAGTAATCTTACTTACCACATGTGGTTGATGTCTAGATTCAACACGACAATGCTTAGAGTGTCCACCACTCAGCACATGCTTGTCTGCTGGCAGACAGCACCCATGATGATGCTGTTACCTTCTCTTGACCTTCTCCCTTCTCTACCACTCTCTGTTTTCTCTCCCAGACATCTTTGTGTTGATTGCCTCTGTGCCTGTGGTTGCCGTGGGAAACCAGGGCAATGTCCTGGCCACCTCCCTGCGAAGCCTGCGCTTCCTGCAGATCCTGCGAATGCTACGGATGGACCGGAGGGGTGGCACCTGGAAGCTCCTGGGCTCGGCCATCTGTGCCCACAGCAAAGTAAGTATCATGGAAAAGCTATAAGACCACATGGACTTCTCACCCACCTGTGCCCTTCTGCAGCACCCCTTCCCCTACAGGGTCCCCAGAGAGTGGTCATTCTGTTGCCATTGATGATGATAACAGGGGGGAGGAGGAACAGAGGGAAGAGGAGGGTATGAGCAGATGTGGTGTAGGGAGCAGGAAAGGGTAGATTTGAGCTTAGGTCTTGGCTTCACCTGATGCCAACTACTTTGGCCAAGTCACTCACCCATCTTGACCCTCAGTTTTCTCACTTTTAAAATTGGGATAGTAATGCCTATTCCTCCAGATTGTTGGAAGGATGAAATAAGCTCATTCAAGGCCACATGCAGCAGGAAGAAAAGGCTTAGGAGTCACACAGAATGGTTTGAATCCATCCATACTCTACCTGTGTGACTTTGGGAATTTTTGTGACCTCTCTCTGTCTTGGTGTCTGCATTTACAAAATTGGAATGATAGTGTACTTACCTCATAGGGTGAGTGTGAGGATGAAATGAATTGTCATGTAAAGAGCACTCAAAAAGTACCCCACTCATAGAAATCATTCAGTTGCTGTTGTTATTATGTAAAGCCCAAAGCGCAGTGCTTAGAACTTAGTGTTTGACACCAACTAGCTCACCCATGAGTCAGACACTATTGTCACCCCGAACACTGATGAGGAAGCAAACACAGAAAGAGGAACTATCTGCCTAGGGTACCAGGCAATCTGGTTCCAGAGTCCATGTCCAGTGGTTTGCTACTAGTGGCTGTGGTAGTGCTTGGCTCTCCAAGGTGGATCAGAAGCCAGGAGAGATGGAACTTAGTCCATTCCCTTTCCAGAGTAGTTAACAGATATGAAACCCGAGCAACTAGAATCTGGTTTATCTGGATTCGTGGTACCCCTGTTTCTTTCCTCTTCTTAACCCAAGCCTTTGGTACCACTTCGTTTTAACCTAGCTGCTTTAGCTAAATCTTGGAGGAATACAGGTAAACCCCTGTTCAGGCAGGGAAAATGCCTAAGAAGAGAAATCAGAGGGAGAAACCCCAGGGATGGGTGTTCTTCAAGGGTATAAAATCAAGCCTGCATTCTTGTCCTGGAGAGTATCTTCTTGTGGCAATTGTGATGGGCACATAGTTGCTGTTGGTGTCTCACCCAGATCCCGTTTACTGGGAACCCTGTGACCACCTCCTCAGTAATTACCTGCAAGTATATTACATGCATCTAAATCCCTGCCTCAGGCTCAGCTTCTGAGGAGCTGGACCAGAAGCAGTCAGCCTAGTGTGATTTGACATTAGGGAGCTTAGACCACACCACCTCTAACTGGACATACTCCAGAAAATACCCACACAGATCCTGTTTCTTATATGTGCCCAGATATTAGGGTGTGGTTTTCTGTGAGATAACATCTCATAGTAAACTAAATATGAACATGGATGTCAGACAGCAGCTTGTTTAAAATTCATCTCGGCCGCCTTTTAGCTGTAAGACCTTAAGGATGGAGCTATTTTTATAAGCTTCCTCAGTCGTAAAATCATGAATCTCCCTGGCTGCTCACATGAAAAAGATGCATTTAAGCGCCTGGTAAGGAGTGGGTACTCACTAACAGTAGTGTTTATTATTCCACATAGGCTCATCCTCACACACCATACAAATAAATATATAAATAAAATAAATGAAAGCATAAAATTCCTGGGAATCTTTCCACTTAGAATGCAGTTTCTTGCCATCAATGTTTCATTCCCTATTTGTGCTACCTCTAGCCATAGAGTGAGTAAGGTCAGAGCATCCTTTTCAGAGGTCTTTTTTCCTCCCGATCTCCTATTTTATCTTTTATCAGAGGACACATTCACAGAACCCTCCTGGTTTCAGCCATAAACTTGTATTGAGGGAGCTGAGTGGATTAGAAGCACTGGTGGAAATCGGTGCTAAAAATGATTTCAGTCCTTTTCCTGTGCTTTATCAGATTATAACAGAACCTAGCATCTGCTGACTATTTGCCATGTATTTCCAGTGACCATTGATGTTTGTGATGTAATTCCTGAGGAAGGATAGGATCACACCGCAGCCAGACCCTGCTGAGGCAGGGATTCTTTCCCAAGGTGGGAAAAGACTCCTGACTAGAGCTCTCGGCACACGAACTTAGGTTTGCAAGCTTTTTGATAAACTCCAAAGTTTATGTTTTGAGTCTTCATGAAGGCTTGTACTGCCAGAGCCAGGAGGAAGCTCTTTCCAAGGAAGTTGCCAGGGGCTATGGTACACAAACATTTATCAGTTCATTTCTTCATTCATTCATTATACTCTGGGGAAAATTCTGGACTTGACTCCTCTGGACACACAGAGATGAAGAGTGGGCAGCTCTATCACACAGGGTTAAACTTTCAGGTTAATGCTTTTATTAGTTAGGATAGGTAAGGCTCTGCTCCCAGAACAAATAGGCCCTAGACCTTCCACCACCCAGCAAAAAACATCAACGTCTTCTCTCTCATACTGTGTTTGATATGTGCTGGGTGGGCCTCATCTGTCTTGAATATGAGGCCTTGAGTCACTGAGGCAGGGAAGGAGGGGCCTGGATGATCCTGCAGAATGAACTTAAGGGACAGGAAAGGACTTGCTCCCATCACTTCCCCATGTTGACTGGGCCCCAGTCCCTTAGCCCTGACCTGGTGGCAGGGGAGCCTTGGCAGGTGGAGGAGCTGATGGCTGCTGTGGGACAGTCACAGTTTCTGCCACAGAGCTGCTGGCAAAAATGTCTAAAGTCAGAACTGCCCTAAATAGCCTCTTAAATGACTGCAAAGTACAGAATCGGGACTCATTTCCACTCCTCACTGGTGGCCATCATGCCATCTCTAAATAATCCGAAACAGTCAGTTTTTTCCGTGCACATATAAACACCCAACCGTTTCTCTGGTTCATCAACCGATGAAACTCCTGACTTGCATTTGGGAAGCAGAGGAGATGGAGAAATGTGGAAACACTGGAACCGCACTGCAGAGGCAGAAGGCACACGCTTAGGCAGCCACTGAGGAAGGACTCACCCATGGACCTCTGCCTTCTCAAACCCCCTGCAGGGCAGACCCTTGGACTGGCTGGATTACCGATACTATCTAGGCTGACCTCGCTCTCTGCTGTAGGGCGAACTGACATGAGAGAAGAATTAAAAGACTACAACTGGACTCTGTCTTTAATTTGGGGAACAAACATCTAGGAAAAAAACTCATAATGAAGGCGGCACGAGTCGGAAGATGACTCCATGCTCTTTGGTTGGTCTCATGTGGTGGATCCAGCCTCCCAACTCATGTGAACAAAGTCATATTGGGAAGCCAGCAGTAACCTTGTGAGCAAACTCTACTGACCCAGAAAGGCAGCCAGCTGGCCGAGATGGTCAGCTATAGGAAGGACATCAGTATGGACAACTTTGTTCTCTGCAATGAGTCAGCAGGAATGACAGACAGACTTAAGTCTCCAGATTGTGTTCACCAATGACCTTGACTTTCTTCTCACACAACCTACCATGCTAAACCAAACCAGGTGAAGTGGGGACCAAATTGAGGTCCAAACTTTATCTGTACAATGACCATTTGTATACCTAACCCGAAATTGCACCCCACATCTTTAAAATAAAAAGCTTAAAACAATTTTAAAAAGAGGAAAAAAAAAAGAAATGGGAATCAAATGAGAGAACTGGAGAATGTTGGAGCAGGTAAGAGCATTATGGACTGACGCCATCAGGGTTTTCAGAAACTTCAGGGACTTGCTGAACTTTGCCCTCTTACTATTAACACTGTTCATTAAAACCTTACTCTTGTTTACTTAGTCATATGCTCCAGTCTATCATGTGATCATCTTCATGAGATCACAGGATGTCTGTGTTACTTATGCTTATTTTTCCTATGTTCTAAATCATTATTTCGCATAAAAACAGTGTATCTGCATACCACCTGTGGCATAGGTATTTGTTCATAGTCACAGAGCAACACATTCAGAAACTCTGTGGTCCAGTTCCTTTATTTTAAAAATAAGGATACAGAGTCCAGGGGAAGAAGGGGTAATTTTTCTAGGGCCACACTGTAAACTGGTGGTGGCGCTGGGTCCCTGTCCACAGATCTGTCCACTCTGCCATGCTAACTCTCCCTTGCTGTTGGTTTCCTGGTGACACTGAGTTTTCTCCTTGCGCTGCATAGTCCTGCATGGAATTGCATCTCCTGAGTCCTGAATCTTGTCTCAGAGGCAGCAGTCTGTTCTTCCTGCCTTCTTGCCTTCCTGTGAAGCCTTTTGAGCTGGGATATCAAGGTCACCTTAAGCTAGTAATCTTCCTAGAGCCATACACATATTCTGTTAGTTAACAATGGAACTTATGACCATATTGCAGATCTCATTTTACAACGAAGGGAGGTGAGAATCAGAGAAGGTGAGTCATTTGCCCACAGTCACAGAGAATCTTAGACTCCAACTCCAGTGTGTCTGTTGCCAGCATCTACCTGACGAACACTTCTCTTGTCCACTGTTTGCTCTTCCAGGAACTCATCACTGCCTGGTACATCGGTTTCCTGACACTCATCCTTTCTTCATTTCTTGTCTACCTGGTTGAGAAAGATGTGCCGGAGGTGGATGCCCAAGGAGAGGAGATGAAAGAGGAGTTTGAGACCTATGCAGATGCCCTTTGGTGGGGTCTGGTGAGTCACCGCCTTGAAGGCCAACCCTGGGAGGGGTTGACTGCTAGAGGCAGAGGGCGGTGATGGGCATAGCCTGGGCAGCTGCATTCTGCAATCAGAGACAGGAGTTAGACCTCTTCCACCTCTGAACCTACTGGAAGGAGACTGGTCCATCAGGGTGTGCACCGGGAATGGACTTTTTCCTACTGTCTGTAAAAAGTCAAGGTTTTCTCCGCAGGCAGGCTGAACTCACCTGTGTGTTTGTCTAAGCACAGACTGGAGGGACACACAGGTGCCTCTAGAAGGAGGTGGGTGGCCGGGAGACAGCAGGGAGGGGCATGTGCTCTTCACTCCTGATCCTTTTGTTTCTTTTGCATTTTGTACCCTGTGCATGGCTGATCTTTCACCACAAAAATAAACATACAAATAATGTAGCTCAAAGTGATCATGGGCTCTGGGATGCATCCTTCTGGAGGAGTACTCCTCTGTAAGAGCAGCCTTAGCTGTAACCCTCAAATCATGCTGAAGTCCACTCAGACTCTTCACTGAACAGCACTAATGGCCTCATTCCTTCCTTCTGAGTATCTTGCCATTGAAAATACAAAAAAAAGCTGATGGATTTATCCCCATCAGCTTTCAAAAAGAAGAAGGAGGAGGAGGAGGTGGGGGAGGAGAAGTAGTAGCCAGGGTTTGGGACAGTCCAATTGCATGATCATTTGGGACCTTACCTTATTAGTCATAGGCTCTTATCAGTCAAGTCATACGTGTGCAAAGAAACCCAGTGACAGACACACATGTGTACACACGGACCTGTGTGCCCATCCCTACACCCACAAGGACAGCTAAAACTAAAGCTAACATTTACTGAAGGCTTACTTTGCTTCAGCGTATCACTCTGAGCACGTTGAATTTATTAACATACTTTAATTCAAACAACTTCTATTATGATCTTCTTTTGATAAATGGAGAAATTGAGGCATGAAAAAGTTAAGTAACTAATTCAGTGTCTCTCCACCAGCCATTCAGTGGCTGATCTGGGACTGAAAGTCAGATGGTCACGCTCCAGAGGCCACACTGTTAACTGCTCTGAAATTCTGCCCTCCACATGCAGACACATGTGCATAAATACATGGGTACTGATAACATAAATATGTCAATGCACAGAGGAATATGCAACATACGCCAAACAGTGCACAGACATTAGATATGCACACATAATACATACCAATCCACTCACAAGCACACACATATTTATAAATATGGCTTTATATAAAATCATGCATTTGCAAATATATACACATGCACACACACACACATGCAATTGCAATTGAAAGTTGAAATCTTTGTTGACTGATTGACTATAGGTAGGAAACCCTTAACTTGTAAACAAGTCTCCAGGCCCCCATAAAATTTACTTGGTACTTGATGTCTTTTCTCCCATGGGAATCTTGTTATAAATGGGAGCATTGCCCAGGCTGTTTCCAGGTCACTGATTTTCCTCTCCATGGAGTGCCCACGTCTGAACCCTTCTGTCTTCAGATCACACTGGCTACCATTGGCTATGGAGATAAGACCCCCAAAACGTGGGAAGGCCGTCTGATTGCTGCCACCTTTTCCTTAATCGGAGTCTCCTTTTTTGCCCTTCCAGCGGTAAGTACCTTCCGTGTAGAACATCCCCAGTGTGACTGTCATGCAGGACTCCTCACTGCGTGGCCCTGGCTCAACTTTCCAACCTCATCTTCCATCCATTCATACCCTAAATTCTAAGCCCTATTGACTCCCTGTTCATTCCCTTAAGCGTGAGAGTCCTGCCTGGACCCTGGCCTGTACTGTTTCCCTTTCCCAGGATTGAGTTCTCCAAATGTTAACTCTTCTCCTAATGCTGCCTCCGTTGGGTTCACTGAGTGGCTTCCCCCTCTGGTCATAATTCCATAAGGCATTCCTGGCCCCATGTTAGGATTCTCCATCGTCATAGCTGCCTCCCTCAGGACACCATGAGAGCTCCTTGGAGGCTGGGATAATGCTTTCCATTCATGTATTCCAAGAGTCTCCTTCAGAGTGGACCCTTCATACATATGAGCTCCTTTCCCCTGCCCTGTCATTTACTGGCTTAGGTAAAAAGAAATATATCTCCCTCAAGAGTAAGTCTTGACATAAGATGAAACAACTGACCCAAAGCCCTGGGTCCAGAAATGTCATAACAGGTGGCTCACGCCTGTAATCCAAGCACTTTGGGAGGCAGAGGCAAAAGGACTGCCTGAGTTCAAGGGTTCAAGATGAGCCTGGGAAACTTGGTGAGACCTTGTCTCTATAATAAATCAAAAAATCAGCCGGGCGTGGTGGTGCATACCTATGGTTCCAGCTACATGGAGGGCTAAGGCAGAAGGATCACCTGAGCCCAGCGGGTTGAGGCTGTGGTGCCCATGAGGGTGCCACTGCACTACAGCCTGGGCGGCAGAGTGAGACTCCAACTCAAACTGGATAAGTAAATAATAATAAATTGCATGGATTGAACTTACAGTGTGACTGAATCATGCCTAATGCTTTACCAGCATCTTTTTGTTTAATTCTCAAGGCAACATTATGAGTTAGGTGCTGTATTTATCTCCATTTTCCAGATGAGAATACCAAGCCTTGATTAGGCCAGCAATTTTTTCACAGTCACAAGCCTACTGAGTTATAGCACCCGAAATCCCAAGTCCACTGGTTCTATAGCCTGGCTCTTAATCACAAAGCGTGAAAAACATTTTCTTAAATAAGGATCTCTCTGCCACCTCCCTTACCTTCAATTCTTTTGTTGGTAAAATGCTTTCTCTAATAGGAGCCCTACTTGTCTGGTTTTTTTCCTAAGCAATTTTTTTTCCTAAGCTATTTGGCCTTGGACATATGACCTTCCTGAATCTCAGTTTTCTTATCAATGAAGCAGGTGAGGGGTGTTGAGTTGCTCCAGGATCCTCAAGTTCTCTTTCAGCCTGAAAAATATGTGCTTTTATCCTCTGAATCCACATGCGAGTCTGACCCAGGAACGAAAACAGATCCCAATTCTGGGAAGCCCTGGCTATAGCGAAAGTATTGGCCAATGGTTCAAGCAGCTAAAAGAGTTTAAAAATTCAATCAGCACTGACTGGGCATCTATTCTGTGTGACACCCCTGCCTAAGCAATTCCTATTTCACTTTTTCCTTAACAAAATCATGAGGTGAGTAAGATGATCCCACCTCCTTGTAGAAGAAACTGAGATACTGCCCAGCTAAGAGGCTTGCCCAGGGTGTTATAGCTAGAAAGTGACAGAGCCAGGCCTTCCTGAATTCAAGGCTCCTTCCACTTAGCCAAGATCCCTGCTCCCTCCAAAAGAAGGAAGCTATCTTTTCTTCTTCCCCTTTTCATGCAGTGCTGTCACTGTGGGGCCTAGGTGGGCCACTGAGCCCTACAAGTCCCCGTCCCCTGGCAGTGGGGCCTGGGCTCTAGGAGAGTCCGGGTGGGGCTGACTGGCTGCCTACCTCTCCCTCCAGGGCATCCTGGGGTCCGGGCTGGCACTCAAGGTGCAGGAGCAACATCGTCAGAAGCACTTTGAGAAAAGGAGGAAGCCAGCTGCTGAGCTCATTCAGGTCTGTCTGGGAATGAAATGGAACAGGACTAAGATCTGTGGTGTTTGTGTGAAGGTGTGTGTGCGCACACGCACACAAAGAAGGAGGCATGCTCATGAACTGGGGATGGGACCCAGGATTCTGTATGTGTCTGTGTGTGTGTCTGTATGTCTGTGTATCTGTGTGTCTGTCTGTGTGTGTCTGCATGGGCTTGTGTGTGTGCCTATGTGTGTCTCTTTGTGTGCCTGTGTATGGGTCTTTGGGTGTCTGTGTGTGTCTATGTGTGTTTGTGTGTATGCCTGTGTGTCTGTATGTGTGTCTCTGTGTGTGTCTGCATGTGCCTGTCTGTGTGTCTGTGTGTACCTGTGTGTGCCTATGTGTATGCGTGTGTCTCTGTGTGTGTCTGTGTGTGCTTGTCTGTATGCCAGTATGTGTGTCTGCCCAGACAGGAGCAGGCACATGCTTGCTTGTGGATGGCCATGGGAGTTTCCGTGGGTATCAATATGACCTGTCTCTCTGTATACAGAAGATGGCAATCCTATCACTCTCTCCGAGAGTTCAATTTCTAAGCCAAGCAAGAAAAATACACAGAGCTCGGGGATCAACCCATCAGCTTTTTTGCTGATCATGTTGGGGTTGGGAATTTGGCTTGGAGGTGGGGCCGTACTAGACGTTCTTCCCTTTCTACTCCCCACACCACACTTGACCTAGGGACCCAAAGGGGAGAGTCAGCCTAAAGTCTAGGTATTTAGCCAATCAGCTACAGGGAGAACTGACTTCCTCACATCTGCCAAAGATAGAGAGCCCATAGTGAAGAGAGAAGGAGATGCCTACATGTACAAAATATTGGACCACTTCACCCATTTTTCCTGCCCAGTAGACAAGGGGATGCACCCATCTGCTCTCCATCTCTATCATTCACCCCACATGGGCTAAGGCTTGGGGGAAGCAGTGAGACATGGTGAGAGAGACAGAAATCTTCCCTCTTATGCTTCAGAGGGGGTTCCTGCTTTACGTTATAAGCTGTTGGGAGCGTGGGAGCACAGTGAATAGGACAGTAGAGTGTCCTAATGACAGTTACCTGAATGCTTGAGACACGGCCCCCCCACTAGTGAGCTTGTGTCCAGTTGAACACAGTATGGTACATCATGGCATCCTACATATTGTTGTTTCTAGGTCAGTCCAGGTTCCAAGTTTCTACCCATTTATACCCTCAAACCCCAAATCGTCAGAGTGTCCCAGAGATTCTAGGATATTAGTATCAAAGTCTTGTCTCCTAGGTGCCCCTCTTGCACCCAGAAGTGGTACAAAAACCTTTGTTTTCTGTTTGACTGAGAAGTCTCTGGAAAGAGTAGTTCCTGTTTCTTTTAGGGACTTCACTCCTTCCACTTCAATTGTTCTCCACAACACCAGTTATAGCTCCAGAGTGGTCAAGGAAGTTTTCTTCCCAAAGAAGCTACAAAAAGCCAAGAATCTCATCTTTTCTGAAAGTTAGCTCAGTGCACATTCAAATTGTTAGAAGTCAAGGGCTTTAAAATGGTTTTAATGTTGTGGGACTCTACGTGAAAGTTTCAGATGGTATCAGGTCATTCCTGTCCCTTTTCTCCTCATCAGGCTGCCTGGAGGTATTATGCTACCAACCCCAACAGAATTGACCTGGTGGCAACATGGAGGTTTTATGAATCCATTGTCTCTTTTCCATTCTTCAGGCAAGTGATGGCTCATCTGAATACTCAAGGCATGACTGACTATCCCTCCTGTGGTCTGTGTTTGTCTTTGATCTCATGGTTCCCTAGATGACACCCTTTGGGGCAATGGTTCCCAACCTGGGCTGCATATTAGAATTACCTGGGAGCTTAAAAAAATCTAGGTGCCACATCTCAAGCTAATTAAGTCAAAATCCTCAGGGCTGAGGCCCAGGCATCGGTATTTTTTAAAGCACCCCCAGATGATACCAGTGTATGTCCAGGGGTTTCCAGCTAGTCAGCATGGAGTGGCTCATAAAGATGCTGTTTTGTGTTCTCAGAGGTAGGAAATTGAATTAAAGGCTTTGGAGAAAACTAAGAACCTCTCTCCATGGTCAACAAGGAGGAAAAAGGAGAGGGAATTTAATATGCATTGGATGTCCAATATGTTCTAGGTATTCAAGTTCATATTTCATTTAATCCTCAGGTACCCTATGAGATAAATCAGAGGTTCTCAAATGTTAAAGTATTTTAGAATCAATGGGCATTTTATGAAAATGCAGATCTGGCATCTACCTTCAGCAATTCTAATGAAAGTGTAGAGGTCAACACATCTCAGACAGGAGCCTCGAAGAGAGTCTGACACAATGGCCCACAACCTACACCTGGAGACAGGTCAAATGGTCTGTATTTCCAGGCCCCTCCTATAGATATGCAAGCTGAGTCAGGCTCAGGATATTTGGACATTTGAACTAAGGACAACCGTAGCTGGAGACCTCCAAAACCCGTAGTCTTATCACAGCTTGGACTTCCAAAATAGGCTGCTCCTTTCCAGGATTTAGATACTGGTGACCTGAGCTCAGATGAAGTTTGTGGGTAGGATGCTAGACTCCTAGGACCAGTGACTAGAAAGGAAAGGTAGATAGACAGCTAGCCTCAGACCCAGGGCTGGACCTACTCGGAAGCAGCTGTCATGTGTCTGCAGATTCAATGGACCATCGTATGGCCCAATACTAGGTGAGGGGCTTCCCCCATGCCCTCATCATCCTTCCACACACTCATAATAGGACCTGAAACCAATCTCTGAACTCTGTCTCAGTTTATTTTTCCACCTCCGTCACCAGATTATGGTTAAAAAGTTAAGGGAATATAAGAGATTTGGGTTCTACTGACTCATTTCCCAGCATAAAACCTTCCCGTGGGTACCCATGACACAAAGAAGAAAGTTCCAAACCTGGCTATGCTTTTCAGGGCCCCACAAGATCAAGCCTTGGCTTACCTCTCTCACTCATTCCCGTATTGTGATTTTGTCCTCAGGAGGTTCTAGTGGCAGATGCCGCTTTCTATTCAAGACATTCAGTTCACCAATATTTTTAAGCCCCTTATATGTTCTAAGAAGAACTTGGAGGGTCAAGGATAACTTGCAAGGAAGTCTAACTTTGACCCTGAAAGCAATGAGAAGCCTTTTGTGCCAGAGAATGACATGGTCAGACCTGTGTTTCAAGAAGATGGCTGGAGAGGGTGTGGCAGATGGATTGGGTGGGTTCAAGAGTTAATGCCAGGAGGTCAGCTAACAGATAATTGTGGGTTCAGAGTCAAAGGAAGACCTAGACCAAGGTAAAAGCAATAAGAAGGGGTAGTAGAGGGAGGACCTGAAGGAGAATAGACAAGGGGACCCATGACTTGTGCAAGGGTTAGGGAGGTAGGAGGGTGCAAGTCTTCAATAATTGAAGGTCAAGTTTGGGTTTACTTACTGTATTTTCTTACTTGTCAATTAGACTTACTTGCTCAGAAATTAGTCTCAATGTTCCCTTTTGATTCTAAAATTCCATTATTGCTATAATCCTTGAGGGTTTCGGATAACATACAGCAGAGTCTTGTGAGAATGGACAGTCGACTTCCCCTTAAGAGGACAGAGTGACCTTGAACTCAAACAAGAACACTTTAGATGCAGAACCAGGACAATTTTTGTTTGGATTTGCATCCCAAGGTCTTGGCAATAGACCCATTCTTTAGGGGTTGATTTATTATAAACAAAGCATTGTCCTAGCTGTCAGAGGCTTGGAAGAATACATTGTGCTGCAGACAGCTGCTGTGATATGGGAAGGGTTTTTAAATGAAGAGAGAACATTTCTTTCTTTCTTCTTCTCAAGGACAAAAGTATAAAGTCCCTAGAGAAATTCACTTAGCAACCATGCTGGAACAAGGCAATCCCTTGGGAAAAGAATGTCCCTGAATTCCAACCCACTCTGTGTGCTAATGGCAAAGAAGTCACTGACAACACACTGTTGTGTGTCCTCACCTGCCTCCTAAAGGTTTTCTGTCTTTTGTGTATGCTTTTTTTGTTTGTTTTATTTTAAAGATGTAGGGTGAAATTCAGGATTAGGTACATAAGTGGTCAACATACAGGTAAAGTTTGGGCCTCCCTCTGTTCCCCACTTTGCCTGGTTTGAGATCAGGCACCCTTACTGATGTTGCATGCCTCCCCTCCCTCCCCTGGCAGTGTCTCGCTACTGCCAATCCCTTTCTTGTAGATTTATGGTAAATATTCAGGGTCTGCTTATGGGTGAGAACATGTTTTACTTAGTTCTTTGTTTCTGTGATAGATCACTGATTATTATTATTATTATTTTTTTTTTTGAGTAGGAGTCTCACTCTGTCACCTAGACTGGAGTGCAGTGGCCGCTCCCGGCCACCACAGCCTTGACCTGCTGGGCTCTGGCGATCCTTCCGCCTCAGCCTTCCAAGTAGCCAGAATTATAAGCATGTGCTACCACGCCCGGCTGATTTTTTGATTTATTGTAGAGATGAGGTCTCGCTGCCCAGGTGGGTCTCGAACCTGCAGGCTCAGGCAATCCACTCACCTCAGCCTCCCAAAGGCACGGGGTTACAGGCTGAGCCACTGAGCCCAGCTAGATCACTGATTATGATGGACTCTAAATTCATCCAAGTTGCTGCAAAGTTCATGTTTGTCTTTCTTTATGACTATGTAATATTCCATTATGTATGTGTACCATATTTTAAAATCTAGTTTCGTTTCAATGGGCAGCACAGTTGGTTTCCTGTTTTTGCTACCATGAATAGTACTACAATAAACATGTGAGTGCAGGTATCTTTTTTGAGAACGTTTTGAGTTCCTCTAGTTATATTCCCAGGAGGGGGATAGCTGGGTCATATGGAAAGTCAGTTTTTAGTTCTTTTAGAAATCCCCAAACTCTTTTCTACAGAAGGTGAACTAGTTTACATTCCCACCAGTAGTGTAGAAGCATTCCCTTTTCTCTGCATCATTGTTAGCCTCTGTTGTTTTTTTGTTTTATTAATGATGGCCATTCTTACTGGGCTTAGGTGTTATCTCAATGTGGTTTTGATATGCATTTCTGATTATTATTGAGGCTGAGCACATTTTCATGTGTCTGTTGATTGCCCATATATCTTCTTTTGAGAAGTATCCATTCATGTCTTTTGCTCACTTTTTAATGGGGCTGTTTGTTGTTGTTGTTTTTTCTTTCAGCATGTTTGAGTTCCTTGTAGATCCTGGATGTTAGGCTTTTGTCAGATATATAGTAGGCAAATATTTTCTCCCATTCTATGGGCTATCTCCTCTCTCTCTTGATTATTATTATTATTATTTTGCTCTGCAGAAGCTTTTCGGTTTAATAAGGTCCCACTTCTCTATCTTATCTCTTATGGCATGGACATCTGGGGTTTTGATCAGGAATTGGTTACCTACTCTGATTTCTGTAAGGATGTCTCCTGCATTTTCTTTTTTTTTCTCTTTTTGAGTTGGAGTCTCACTCTGTTACCCAGACTGGAGTGCAGTGGCCGCTCCCGGCCACTGCAGCCTCGACCTTCTAGGCTCCGGCGATCCTTCCGCCTCAGCCTTCCAAGTAGCTGGAACTACAGGTGCGTGCTACCATGACCGGCTAATTTTTTTTTTATTTATTGTAGAGAAGAGGTCTCGTCAAGTTGCCCAGGCAGGTCTCAAACCCCGAGGCTCAGGCAATCCACTCACCTTGGCCTCCCAAAGCGCAGGATTACAGGCTGAGCCACCGAGCCTGGCCTATGCTGCATTTTCTAAGATTCTTATAGGTTTTACATTTAGGTCTTTGGTCCATTTAGAGTTGAGTTTTGTGCATGGTGATAGGTGGGAGTCCTGTTTCAATCTTCTGCATGTGATCAGCGAATTTTTCCAGTACCATTTACTGAATAGGTTCTTCTTTCCCCAGTGGTTGTTAGTGGAGGTTCTATCAAAGATGAGTTGGTTGAAAAAATTGGTGTTTTGCTTCCAGAATCTCTATCCTGTTCCATTGGTCTATATGCCTGTTCTTGTACCAGTTTTAGGTTACTTTGATTATTGTAGTCTTATAATAAAGTTTAAAGTTTAGAAATGTGATACCTTCTGCTGTGTTTCTTTTGCTGAAGGTTGTTTTGCCTATTCATGGTCACTATTTTTCCATGTGAATTTCTGTATTGTCATTTCCATGTCTGAGAAGAATGATATTGGTAATTTAATGGGTATTATATTGAATCTGTAGATTGCCTTTGGTAAGATGGACATCTTAGCAATGTTGATTCTTCCAATCCATGAGCATGGAATACTCTTCCATTTGTTTGTGTCTTCTTGGATTTCTTTGTGTAGTGTTTTGTAGTTTTCGTTGTAAAGGTCTTTCACATCTCTGGTTAGGAAGAGGCCAAGGTATTTATTTCTTTTTCTTTTCCTTTTTCTTTTTCTCTTTCTTTCTTTCTTTCCTTTTTTTTGGGGGGGGTGTGGCTATTGTGAATGGGATTGTGCTTTTTATTTGGTTCTCTGCCTGTTTGTTGTTGGTATATAAGAATGCGACTCTCTTTTGCACATTTATCTTGTACCCTGATTCTTTGACAAAGTCATTTATCAGTGCAAGAAGGCTTTTTGGCAGATTCTCTTGGATTTTGGAGGTATAGTATCATATTGTCTGCGAAAAGGGATAACCTTAACTTCCTCCTTTCCTATTTGGATACCCCTGATTTTCTTCTCTTTTCTAATTGCTCTAGCTAGGATTCCAACATAATGTTGAACAGGAGGGGTGAGAGTGGGCAACCTTGCCTTGTTCCGGTTTTCATGGGAAATGCTTCCAGTTTCTGTCTGTGTAGCAATATGTTGGCTGTGGGTTTACTGTAGATGGTGCTTACTATTTGGAGATATGCTCCTTCTATGCCGAGGTGTTCAAGGATTTTTATCAAGAAGAGAAGCTGGATTTTATCAAAAACTTTTTTCTGTATCCAATGCTATAATCATGTGGTCCTTGTTTTTACATCTGCTTATGTACTTAATTACATTTATGGTCTTGCGGATGTTGAACCAGCCCTACATCCTGGAGATGATGCCTACTTGGTCATAGTGGATGATTTTTGAGATGTGTTGTTGGAGCTGATTTGCTAGAATCTTGTTGAGAGTTTTTACATCTATGTTCATCAGGAGTATTGGCCTGTAGTTCTCTTTTTTGTTGAATCTTTACCCAGTTTGGGTATCAGTGTGATGTTAGCATCATAAAATGATTTGAGGAGAATTCCATCTTCTTCAATTGCCTGAAATACTTTCAATAGGATCGGTATCAGCTCCTCCTTGTACATTTTGTAGAATTCTGTTGGAAACTGTCTGCTCCAGGACTTTTTTTGTAAATAGTTTTCTTAAGTTGAAGTCAATTTCCCAGGTTGTTTGATTATGCTTGTTTTAATAACAACTTTATTGAGATACATTTCACAACCCATGAGAGGATTTTGTATACTATAAAAAGTCCCCTTTTAAAGTGAATGATTTGGCAGTTTTGAGTATATTCACAAAATGGGGCATCAATCACCAATACCTACTTCTAGAACAGTTTTATTACTCCATTACACTTATAAACTTGCTTTTGAATTGCAAAGAACTTAAGCAAGTTTCAAGTCCAAAGTCAACTTAATAGGAGAAGAAACTGAGATCTCCTAAAAGTTTAGGAACTTTCTCAAGGCCACACACCATATTAGGTATAACCGAGACCAAACCCAGGTCTTCTGATCTTCTGGCCAATAAAGACTGGATAGACTTAGTACAAGTCTGAGAAGGTGTAGGAAGAAGCTGGGGTAGGGGGATGGTAGCTTATACATTCTTATATACAAGCAGGGATGAGGGCAGATATTTAAAATGAGACAATGCTTTTTATCAACAAGAGCACATACGCTACTTTGTTCTCTGAAGGGAGAGTGAAATTATGTCTGACATTACATGTTCTGTGCTTGCGCTGGTAATATGGTAGCCACTAGCTATGTGTGGCTCTTGAGTATTTGACTGTAATTAGTGCAAGTGAGGAACTGAATATTTAATATTAATTAAAATAGTCATATGTGACTAGTGACTACCATATGGGACAGCATAGCTCTGAGATTGTTAGATATTAGAACTAAAGTAGAAAGAGGAGACATAGGCCCAGGAAGAAGATATTTGACCAAGAAGAGTTAATTCATGGTATAACTAGGGCTTGTTTTCTCTATGACCAGGGTCAAGATTATTGGAATGTTTAGAAATGGGAAAAAAGAATTATATGTAGCCAGGCATGGTGACTCACGCCTGACATCCCAGCACTTTGGGAGGCAAAGGTGAGAACCTGAGCTCAGCGGTCCGAGACCAGCCTGAGCAACATGGAGAGACATTGTCTCCACAATAATAAAAAAATCAGCTGGGCATGGTGGCACATGCCTGTGGTTCCAGCTACATGGAAGGCTGAGGCGGAAGGATCACCTGAGCCCAGCAGGTCGAGGCTGTGGTGGTCAGTAGAGTGTCACTGCATTCCAGCCTGGGCAACAGAGTGAGCCTCCAACTCAAAAAAAGGGAACTATATATTATTGATCTGCTTTCATACACACTATCTTATTTAAGTTTTAGGATGTCCTAGATGGCAAGTAAAAGGGTTAGCTCCATTTTTCATAATCCCATATTCATAGGTGAAGAATTAGAGTGTCAGTGAGGTTAATTAGCTTGCTTGGTATCACTCAGCTAATAAATAATGGAACAAAAATCAGGACCCATGTCTTATGTCAAAGCCCACATTTTGTATCCCTGGAAAGAGAATGTTATTTAGAAAGAAAACTGAGTAAAAGTAAACTGAGAAGAATTATTTAGGTAGCAACATCTATTTCTGAGGATTGTTGTGATGGTCACATTGAATAAAATGTCTGAAAGTAGTTGTCTTAATACTGGGCACGTGACTGGTGTTCAATCTATGCTGGTTGAATCTGAGCTGGAAGGAATTTTGATGCCATAGCATAGAGGTGGTGAAGGGAGGAAAGGAGACATTAAGCTCCCAAATTATGATCGTGGTAAACCACTGATGGCATCCACAGAGCCAGAGCACCCTGTCCAGAATGTGGTTAAAGCCTTTTAATCCAGTTATTCCATGCACTTAGCAAGTATTCTTTGAACATCTCTTATGTGCTGGGAGTGTGTTTGGCATTGGGGATCTAAAAATGAACAGGAAGGGTCAACTGTGCTGGTTCTGTCCAAGGGGGTTGAAAACAGGCAGAGAAGTGCCCACTGGCTGTTGTCGCTTGGAGTTTGCTGGGCTTTGGCTGGAGCAATCTCAGTGGAGCCTTGGACATAGACGCCAGTTGCACAGACTGAAAAACGATGAGAACATAAACAAGTGGGGACAGAGAATGTGGATGACGACGGAGTGGGATGCAGGGCCAGGGATGCTTTCCTTGATGGAGAGGACCTGGCAGAGAAGGATAAATGTGGCTGTGGAGGGAGAGAAAGGACTAGAGGAGAAAGCAGGGGAGATGGTGTGGGCGCCGAAGCATAAGTGGAAGGTGAGTCTTCATCAGGAGTGTGGACCCTTCATCCATGAGCACATGGCAGAAGCCCAGTGGGTAGGGATAGGGGGTGGGACCATGGGCAGATCTCAGGGAGAGGTGAGTCAGGATATCAACTGGGAGGGGAGTGGGGAAGAGGGAGAAGTTTGATGGCAGAGGAAGAAGCATTAAGTAATTGTCGTGGAGAGCAAGAGAGTAATAGACAGTGGAGTCTCTCATTCTTCCCCCCTTCTCCCTCAGTGCCTTCTGTCGGTTCCATTCTGCCCTTCACCTGCCCCCTCACCCTTGCCTTCCCCTCTTATTGTCTTCCCTGCTTCTCCTGGACTCAGAGACCTGGAGAACATTCTAGAATGTCTTGGCTGTCTGCATGCTTAGAGGTCAACTACCCCCTTCTTTATTGAATAATGGAGGAAACAGACACAGACCATGTGACCAATCCAAGGCCATGATTCAACTGGGTGCTAAGCTGACCCTTAAAGCGAGGATTCTTCCCTCTCTTATTCTCTTCCCAGCCCTCCCAGTCCTGAAGCACATGATAGGCCAGTCATTCTTTCAGCATTTAGGGAAGACTCCCCGGTGCTAGGGTGTAGGGTGCTCAGATTTTAGAGTTGATAAAAAAAAGATGGTTCTGCCCTCAGACAGCATGGGGACTACACATAATTCTAAAAACAGTGAAACCCAAGTGATGTCAACAGAGTGTCATCCTAAGTGTGAAGGGATCCATTTAGTTTAGACCCAGGGCAGCTGGATAAGAACTCCAAGGAGGGGCCCCACTAGTGGAATGAAACAGATGAGTAAGATGTTCCAGGTGTAGTCGGGCTCGGTGGCTCAGCCGGCAATCCCGCGCCTTTGGGAGGCTGAGGTGAGTGGATTGCCTGAGCCCGCGGGTTCGAGACCCGCCTGGGCAGCGAGACCTCATCTCTACAATAAATCAAAAACTCAGTTGGGCGTGGTAGCGCATGCCTGTAATTCCGGCTACTTGGAAGGCTGAGGCGGAAGGATTCCCGGAGCCCAGCAGGCGAGGCTGCGGTGGCTGGGAGCAACCACTGCATTCCAGTCTGGGCGACCAAGTGAGACTCCAACTCAAAAAAAAAAAATGTTCCAGGTGGTGAAAAGAGAAAGGTGAGTCTAAGCAGAGGGCAGAGCCTGTGCAAAGGCTTGGAGTCCTGAATCTGTGTAAATAGAGTTCTTGTGGTTAGGAGTGAAGGCTCCGGAGATCTCTTGTGTTTGAATCTGGACTTTGCTGCTTCCTAACTGTGAGCCCTTGAGCAATTTATTTAACCTCTCTGTGCCTTGATTTTCGCCTCAGGAAAGACGATGATAATAGTACTTATCTCATAGGGTTGTTATGAGGATTAAATGAACGAATCCATAAAAAGTGCTTGAAATAGTATCTTGCCAATAATTTTTGCTCAATAAATGTGAGCGGTGATGACACTGTTGACTATGACAACGATGGTGGTGACAGTTATGGGGTGTTGCTGCTCCATTCAGACACTTCTGGTTTCCGTACCACTAAGCAAATCCCCTGAGTCCAACACAAGGCCTGGGGCAGAACAGGTACTTGACAACTATTTTCTGGACAAATAAATGGATGAATTAGTGGCTGGGAAGAACTTTGAGAATTCAGAGCCAACAGTAGCAGTGGGGCCTTGGGTCTGACTGGGGAAACTCACCTCCCTCATTGCTTCGCTCCACACTCACCATCTTGTCCCAGAGCTCCACCATCTTCAGAAAGAACCTCTGGAGGAAACTTTGTGGAAGGGTTCAGCTGTTCCATATAGTTTATACTTTTTCTTTTCTTTTCTCCCTCTTCTCCTTGTAGGAAAGAACAGCTAGAGGCAGCAGCCAGGTAAGTTTCTGATTATGAATCTCCTTCTTCCCACCATTGTATGTGAACAGAGGGTGTAGGACCCCTGAGTGGCCATGCTGGTCACCAGAGTCTTTGACACCCACTGTTGCTGCTGGCCACCATAGTCCTCTGCCACTTTCATGCTGGAAACTTAATAAGGGAAACTTAATAAGAATCATAATAGAAGTCATTTGTTGAGCTAGGTTAGGTTTTGTGCTAGAAATTGTACATATGTTATCTCATTTGGTTTTCACAAACCACAACGTGAGATAGACCTTAATATTCTCATTTGTGGATGAAGAGATTGGGGCTCGGAGAGGTTGAGTCATTCCCTCTGGGTCCCAGAGCAATTGAGTGTCAAGACCAAAATTCAAAGCCAGGTATAAATATTAAGGCCATGTTGTTTCTATGATATATTGCTTTATTTGCTTCTTGGGCTCACAGACAGTACTTGAGAAAGGAAACAAAAATTGTGATTCATGATCCTCACAACTGTGGAGGTTTCCCAATCAACTATGCTCCCTGCAGGTGGCTGCGGAGGCAGGGGAAGCTTCAGGGTTGTAATCTTTTCTATGGCCCTCCCTTCCTCTCCCTCGCAAGATGTCTCAATGCCAGTTAAACTATAGACCTGCTATAGGTTGTAAATAAAAACTATCCCTTGAAACATCAGTTTAACAATTGATCTCCTGAACACTAAGTCACATTGCCCTCCTTCTAGATCTGACAAAATTTAGGCAGAGGAGGTAGGAGGACCCCGGGATACCTTGTAGGGGAACCACTTGAGAACAGTGGCCTTTGGAAAGCTGAGCCAAGTCCTCTTGAGTGGGTTCATGAAACCCATTCACACATAATCCTGCTTGGAAGAAACAGTTATGGACATATGCCTCCATTTGTGTGTGTTTTCAAATGGACCATGTGTTTCTCCCCTGGACTCACTTTGGACTGTAGGGCACTTGGGAAGATTGGAAAGGGGGGCTGGTTGATTGACAATAATAGTATCAAGACATTTGCTAGAGGATCTGCAGCAGCGCATGGCCCCCAGAGGCAGAGGGGGAAGACACAGCAGAGATCTCTTCAGATATTTGTATAGCAACTGAGCGCTGCCTCCCTCCCATCCCCCCCAATAGCCAATGAGTACCAGTTACTATCCAGGGTTCAAGACTCCCAACAGGGTGTTCTTTCTTCTCCTTCTCTGGTGATCTACAGGGTTAATCCATGCCTATGATGACACTGAAAGTGCATTGTTAAATCTACCTTTAGAATCTTTTCTATACAGACATGAACAGAATTCAACCATAAAATCCATAAAAAGCGCTTAAAATAGTATTTTGCCAATAATTATTGCTCAATAAATGTGAGCGGTGATGACAGTGTTGACTATGACGACGATGGTGGTGACAGAGTTATGGGGTGTTGTTGCTACATTCCGACACTTCTGGTTTCCGTACCACTAAGCAAATCCCCTGAGTCCAACACATGCAAAATGAACATGCAAAATCTCACTGTGCATTGGATTCAGCACCTCAGGTTTAATGAGGGCCCAGATAGATACATTTTGAGGCTTTCCTGGAAATGCCTCTCCAGGTATGGGAAAGGGAATCTCTGATATCTGGTCAGAATCTCTGAAATCTGGTTCCCTTGCAAGAACCCTCCACTCTACCCAGGTGCAGAGAGAAAAATCTATTTCATGATTTCTCAAGGTCAGAGTTGCTGGGTGTTTGCTGGCTCACCCATCTCAGGGAAGAAGAGCAAGATCATTATATAAGCTGCTCAGTCTTTCTCATCCAGGACTGGATCAGTCAAATTTGGCTGATGGGTTAGCAGGTGAGATGCCAGGTGCAATTATAGCTATATAGACTAGAAGTGGGAATGAGATCTGGAGGAAGAATGGGAGACTTGTCAACAGAGGAATCAATTTCTTTACCCAAGAAGGCAGGGAATAAGGTGACTGCAAGTTGTTCAGCTATGTGTGTATGCATTAGATTCATACTTCCTGACATGTATTTTCCACTGTACAGTAGTTTCGACAGGCTGACAGCTAACTGGCATTCCAATCTTCCTTTATTCATGTTTCTAAGCAGAGTCAGATTTGGAGTTCATCTTATTGCCTCCTTCTAACATAAGTAGCCCACACATGTGTTTATTTGTCAGTCTAAGGAAAGAATTATATTCTTTGTGACGTAACAAATCTTGATGCTGTTATTGGGGGCAGGAAAATTGACTTTTTTGGACAACTTATTGGAAAGAGTCCAAATCAATGCTTAGTTATAAAGCCATTGCTTTATAAGGGCTGTCTTGACTGTTTTGATTTATGTGGGCTTGTTTTAGGAACATAAACCCAGTTGAATTCTTACAATGACTGGAAAGTGGGCTTTGATAATTTTATCCTGAGCACTTTACACATGTCATCCTACTTGATTCTCATAAAAATAAAGGTCGTTGACACCCCACTCCATCCATGTTATAGACATCCATGTATTTTTAGATGCCCAACTCATGGTGCCCTTAGGTGGGATTCAGAGCTTCCCTACTTCTCTTGTTGTGGTCATTTCACTTTGACTTTCTCAGCTGATTTTCTTCATATTGAAGCTGTGGCTACTAACAGCCCCAGGATCACATGGGTTTGTTGTTGTTGTTTGTTTGTTTTTTATTCTCCCTTCTATCCATTTATCTATCTGTCACCTAACACCAGTTGTTAAAATCCCAGAGAAGCACTCAGATTGTCCCAGTTTCAGCCACATATTCATGCTCTGGGCAACCTCTACAACTCAGAGAGTAAAGGCTACTACTGGCCAACTTCTGCACCAGGTCCCCATCTGTTAGAGTGGGTGGGTGGGTGCAGGTGTAAAATACTATGATTAGCAGCCCTCATTAGAGTCACTTGATGAAGGGAGCCAGTTCCTGAAAGAATAATCTCTTTTTTCCCAATAAATTGATGAATAAAACATCCAGCAGACAAGCAAGTATAAATCTACTCATAGACTTTTAACTTCCAAATAATAATATTGCATTAAAGAACCTCAACAGTGAACCATTTTGAGATTGGTACCTTGTGTTAATGCCATGATTTTGATAACTCATGATTTTGATTACTCATCAGTAATAACTATCCAGTAGACATGCAACTGATAATTAGTGCTGATAACTGGGGGCATCTTTTTTGATAGAAACTAGCATTTTTTGAGTCCTCAAAACAGGTAACTGCGAGCCCAAAGGTTCATCTTGTATTTTCACACAATTCAGTCTCAACAGCAACCTTCATGGACTCTTCTCCCTTGAATCTGTCTTTGGAGAGAGAAGAAATTTTTCCTAGGCACATTCTCTTGTTTGTTTGTTTTGTTTGTTTTGCTATTTTAATGGTTTTAGGGAATACAAATAGTTTTTGGTTACATGTATGCACTGCATCATGCCAAAGAAGTCTGGGTTTTAAGTATTCCCACCACCCCCACCTTTCACATTGTACCTAATAGGTGACTTTTCCTCCTTCCACCTCTTCCCCACCTTCCTCCCCTCCCCCGTGTCTCCAATGTCCATTATGCCATTCTCTATGATGTTGAGTTCCCACTTATAAGTGAGAACATGCGGTGTTTTGTTTTCTGTTCCTGCGTTAGTTCACTTAGGATGCTGTTCTCTGATTCCATCCAAGTTGCTGCAAAAGACATTATTTGACTCTTATTATGTCTGAATAGTATTCCAGGGTGTGTGTGTGTGTGTGTGTGTGTGTGTGTGTGTGTGTGTGTGTGTGTGTGTACACGCACACCACATTTTCATTGCTAATCAGTTGATGGGCATTTAGGTTGATTTCACCTCTTTGCAATTATAGATTTCCAGACACATTCTTTATCTCCTACCTGGCGATCATGTCTTTCCCATTACGAAATTGGCAAGAATCTAGTAGAGAATCGTTCTTTGGGATGAAGGATTCAAGTATAATAACAATGACTTACAAAGAATGCTTATTGCTTGCCTGGCATAGTTCTAAGCATATCTAATCTTCATAGCACTCTAAGAGGTAGGTACTCTTATAATCCCCATTTTTTAAATGAGAAACCAGGGCTCAGATAGTTAAATGATTTGCACAAGGTCATACAGATTGTTAACTGGCTTGCACAAGGTCATACAACTAGAAACTAGCAAGAGCCCGACTTGGATCCAGTTGACTCTACCGTTCATGGTCCCAACCACCATGCTTGTCTTCCAAGGGAAGGTCCCTTAGGGAACCATTTTGTTTTATTTTCTTCTGTTCTTTTTTGTTTTGTTTTCTTCTATCTTCCTTGATTTACATACCCAGAGTCCCTGCCACAAGAGGAGGGTGTGGAGGCCAGAAAAGGCACCAAATTAGATCTTCTATAGCGTGAAGGAGCATTTGGTCAGATGCTCTTATTCACACTTCGACATCAGCCACATGAAATTTATCTCACAGAGTCATGGATGATGTTGGGAATAAAACACCTTCCATGCCCTAGAATCAGTGACTACTCAAGGTAAACAAGAATGTAGAGATCAATTAATCCAACCTTTAATTTTACCAGTGAGAAAAAGTGTTACAAGGATTGAATACAATTCCATAGATATTAGTATTTTCTTCTGCTGTCCAGACCCTGAAACACTGACCCAGGATACAAAGTCACTGAGACACAATGGTGAGATTTAGACCAATTTTGTTTACTCTCAGAGGGATCCTGAACATGTTCTGAAGGCTTAGTCTTGGTTTCCTCTTGCAATAATTAGGTGAGAGATATATAACACCCTTTCCCTTCTGAATTATGAACTAACTAAGAAATAAACTTTGGAGTCTGAGAAGGGTTAAAATATAGTTTAAATTTGCTGCGTAGGCTGGGCACGGTAGCTCAAGCCTATAATTCCAGCACTTTGGGAGGCTAAGGTGAGAGGATTGCCCAAGCCCACAGGTTTGAGACCAGCCTGGAAAACTTGGTTGAGACCTCATCTCTACAATAAATCAATAATCTAGCATGGGTGGTAGCATGTGCCTGTAGCTC